AGCACTCATTTAAAGGTTGATGTTTTTATTTTGAGTATTCATTGTATGATCGCTGTATTTCTTTCAGATACAATTGTTGGTCAGAAGGAAAATGGTCATGGAAAAAGGGGGGGAAGACAGAGGCGAGGAGGTTCACAAGGCAACAGGGTGAGAGAGGTCGGAAGAGCACAAAGTGTAGGGACTATTCCAAGAGTTCCAAACAGACAGAGAGGAGGAGGGAGAGGGGAAAACAGAGGGGGAGGTGCAGATAGACAGAAGGGTAGAAATGGTTCGCCAGGTAAAAAAGACAACTGGAGACTGAGAACGGCAGAAACGGGTGCAGGGAGAGGAGGACACAGCGACGACAGAAGAAAAAGCAGGGACGAGAGAAGGAATGGTGCTGGTCCAACACGTCCACATTTGGGTTATAAAATTCTGGAAGACCTTTGTAAGAAAGAGCCGTCTGTTGTGGCCATCACGCTCTCCTCAAACCCCGACCTTCAAACACTTCTGAACGAGACACCAATTAGACCGGACCTGGTCCAACTCCTCTGCCTGGTGTTGAGCAAAGCTTTTACTTCAAGGATGGACAGAGGCACCCTGCAGCATCTGGCTGGCGTCATTAAGGACTCAAAGTTCTTCCACACCAGCCTGCTTCACTACATTGGCGGGATGGTGTCACAGTCCAACCCTGACCGCAGAGCGCAATACCCACAGGTTCTGGAGAACATCCTAGCCATTCTCTCAGAGGTAAGAAATGCTTTAGTTAGGTCAGATAAATGAGAACTGAGAGAAGACACGCTGTGCTCACGTATTCTGACCCCTGAGAGTAGACTTCATTAAAAGACACATTTAAAATGCGCAGAGTGGTTTTTAGTGAGTGAGTAAAACCTCTGTGAAATGAAATTTACTTTGTGAGTTGAATGTTTTCTATTCCATGTGAAAAGAAGTTCAACTGAAGGGTACCCAGCCACTTTACATCTGTAAAACACTCTTAATTTCTTGAACTTTGCTTTTGATCAGTTTTAAACACACCACTTTCACTGGTAATAGAATATTCTCCCATCACAGCAGTGGCGCTTTTAGTTTTAGAGTTGTAAGTGAATTATTTTGCACTTATTTCATACTTAACTAACTCTTTTTAATATGTGCCCAACAGGTTCTCAATATCTTTCCTGCAAGCTCTGTCAATGCAGTGAGCATGCTACTGACTCTGTTCCAAGCCTCCATTAACAGCCTGAGGGCATTGGGTGTGGACATCCAGCCTGAAATGGAGGAAAAAGTGGCGACCCTCAATGATTTGATTGGACACCTCCAGCAGAGATCCAGGGATGGCACCTTGCGCACGGACAGAGAAACCTATGCTCTTTTAACTGCTGGTGACAATCAAGGTAAAAAAGATTTCTAACAAAAAAAAAAACACATTAACATGACTTATTAGCTGGAAAACATTTTATGATAAAATGACTTTTAATTGTGACCCAGATGACGATCAGCAGGATTTCAGGACCATACCCCTTTATCCGACCCCTGAAGAGTTCCACCAGGACCTCAGACCATTTCTCCGACCCAATCTCACCTCAAAGCGATACACAAACACTCATATCTACCTTGATACACACTTCCGTCTGCTCCGAGAGGATTTTGTGCGACCACTCCGTGAGGGGATTCAACAGTTACTTCACAGCCAACTGGACATGGGAAGAACCGGCAATCCCATAAAGACGAAGCGCTTCGATGACATTCGGGTGTATTTTGACACACAGCTGGTGGTTCCCAAGTGCACACAGACCGGGCTTGCCTACATAGTCCAGTTTGACATCAAACCACTGAAGGTTAGATTCTCTATGGATTTAGATTTTATATCAGTCAACGAGGCAATCAAGCTCATCTCTTGAAATGACTGTTTCTGAGAAAACTGACAATACTTTCTCTATTTCCATTGCTTTAGTTTGTACGCTGGCAGAACTCCAAGAGGCTGCTCTTTGGTTCACTGGTGTGCTTATCCTGCGATAATTTTGAGAGCTTCTTGTTTGCCACGGTGTCAGACCGAGATCCCAAATGCCTGGAGAAGGGACAGGTCCAGATTTCCTTCACAGAGGAAAGCAGAAACAAGTTGGTCGGAATTCAGGTGAGGCTCTGCATCAGGAAGTCATCTCACACATGGCCTGAAGGTTTCAGACAAACATACAATGTATCACCAGTTGTTTTAGGTAAATGTAGCAACTTTACTTTCAGGCGGTTTAAAGGTATGGCAGGAATTCATGAAAGCGCTATCAAGCAAGCAACTTTTTGAATGTACACAATTAAAATGTCCAATCCCCATTTTTAAGCTCTTCACCCCAAGCCACGCCTCCAGAATACTGGAACACGCAATACTAGATGTTGATGGTTTAGAATTATGTTTTCAACCAGTTGCTGGCACATTCATCCAATTACAGCCGCTTATCTGTGGTCGGGTCGCGGGGGCAAATCTAATCGAGGAGAGAAATACAGAGGTCGAGTCTGCAAGTCTCTCCCTGACAACTGAAACAGGCCGTCCTTTTAAACTAGCGTGTTCATCATCACTGGATTGTCCGCAGCTGGTGCAGAGAGGGCGGGCCGAGGCGGAGGCCAGTCTAACTGAGGACCTGTCCAAGGTCCTGAACGATCCTGGAGGGAACAATGGGGCATACAGGACGCAGGAGTCCAGGATCCGTAACACCCAGGATCCACTGATTGTCTTTTGTTGTTTATTTTTTTCCCTTTCCTCACAGCTTTTGCTTTTCTCATTTTTATGATTTTTTTAATTTTTAAATTTTTTTTTGGATTATTTTTGTTCCTGAGTAAAGTTTTTATTTATCGCAAGTAATATCGTCATTGCAATATTAATTAGTGTTATTGAATATCGCAGGTTTTCCTAATATCGTGCAGCCCTACTACCCGGTAAATGTGGAGAACACTGCTCTGACAGATGTGGATGCTACGCTGGTGCCGCCGTTAAAATAACAAAACCACATTCCACTATAACTGATTATGGTACTCTTCTACATGCAGAATCGTTTATGCCCGCATCTCATGCATCAATTATTTATTATTTTCCTCAGCTCTATCTATCCCACACCTCCTGGTCGGCCGTGGAGGGTGCGCGCGGGGTTTGGGGGCCACAAAGAGAGGGCTCATGGGCCGGATGTGGCCCGCGGGCCGCTATTTGCAGACCACTGCTGTAGAGCATTTGAAAGTTTTTGTCAGGATTCTAAAATAAACTCTAAAGTTAACGGGTAACCAGTGGAGAGACATTAGAATAGGAGTGATGTGTGCTCTTCTGTTTTCTGCAGTTAGGAGCCTCGCTGCAGAGTTCTGGACCAACTGAAGGCGGTCAAGGGCTTTTTTGTTAAATTATGTGAAGAGTGTGTTACAGTAATCTAGACGGGAGGAGATAAAGGCATGGATGACCATTTCAAGTTCATGTTTTGACACCAACCTTCGCAGTTGGGAGATATTTCTTAAATGATAAAAACAGTTTCAGACCAACGTTTTTGAGTGACCTTCAAGAGACATTGATTGGTGAAAAATAACACCCAAATTCCTTAAGTTTATCTTGACAGCAGAGGATAAATGACCAAGTTTTAGACTAATCAGGGGAACCATGCTCTCAGGGGCAATGATCAGACATTCAGTCTTTTCAGAGTTTAACTGAAGGAAGTTATCTTCCTGCTGTTGCCTGGCAGACCGAGAGGGCGGAGCCGCTAAAGAATACACACACACTCAGGCTCACGACAGCATTGTGACATCATAATGTACCAGTTTACATCATAGCATACTTCTTAGCCAATAGCGGTGGCAGATTTAAATTAAAATACAGTGCAGAGTTTTTACCTGACAACGGCACAACACTGACAGTTTTAGGCAGAATATTTAAATTTTAACTAAGATGCACTAAAGTGCCAAATTATTAACGACACGTGTCTGCAGCACGATTAGACACTCGTTTATTTAGTTTATCAGCAAAAAAAAGTTTATTTGGGGGTGACTTGCTCTTTAAGGGCAATTCTCATCTGTTTTGTTTGATCTCATCTGTAGACATTTATTATAATTGGGGATGTCAAACAACTAATTTTTAAATGTGATTAAACATAGGCTGTGAATTAATCAAAATTAATCACTATTTCCAAAAATGACTGAAAAAATACCAAATAAAACAAAAGTAAATGAATGCCATCCTCCTTGCGATGATGCCCTGGGCAACTGCCATAAAATCACACCAAGAAATGCTGCTGATCATTCCAATGATCCCAAATAGACTCACATTAGGCCACATGAAAGCAACTGAACCCAAAAATACATTAACCAGTATATAACTGCACTCTCACAACACGCCTGCAGCAACAGTTAGGACTCCTCCCTCCCTTTTAAAAGCGTTTTCGCTTCCGAGGACATTGTGGTTGTAAAGCCACATGTTAGTAGTCTGGCCCCGGTGTGATCAACCAGTTTCTGCAGGAATGTGACGGCGGAACCGGTCCGCAGCAGTGCGATAATAGCGTCGCGCTTACGATTTTATAGACTTTTTTTTTACGAGCTTAGGGCATGTCTAGCCTGTGTAATAATCCGGGGCTTGGGTGAATCACTTTTGAAAAGTTTTTAACTTACCCGGACACAGAGCTCTCTCCTTCCTCGCTGATGATTCTGACATGCTTGCGTTTAAGATGCTGCATCATCACTGTAATACTCCCGTGCCATGCTAATTCTGACCTACAAACGTTGCAGGTAACGAATGTCTTCGCCTGGTTTAACTGAAAATGCTCCCAAACTTTAGAAGTTTTTACATTTTTTGGGTCTCGCTGCTTCTGCCATGTTCCTCTTCCAAACACCTGCCGGCTCTCCGGTCTGTGCGCAACGGCGGGCGGGAGGGGAGGGGGCTTTTGGAAGAGTTGTGCAACACAACGAATCGATGACGCAATTCGTTGCCAACGCTTTTAGTAATCGATTTTCATCGAATTTATCGATTCGTTGTTGCAGCCCTAGCTGATAGACACTCTAGTAATTCAGACAGTTTATAGAACTCAGAATCCTTAAAGGAGCAGTACAGCTGAATATCATCTGCATATAGGTAATAAGAGACATTCTGAAAAGAATCAAGTATCTGTCCAAGAGGGTGTATGTACAGCAGAAACAACAGGTCCGTCACCTAAATGTTCCCCAACACAACCCAAACCAGACTCCAAACAGAACATTTAAAACAACTCCCTTTTCAAGATTTGCAAACAACAAACAGAACAGAACATACTGTTCTCCGCACTAGCTAGCCCAGCTCTTGCTTTAATTCCTGTTCAGCTACTTCAATCACAGAGTGACCCACGCATGGTTCTCACACACACTGGACAGTCTGGACTTTGCTTAAGCATAGTTGCACTGCAAAAGTCACTTACAATGTGGTTTGCACAACTCTGGACATTATATTTTTTCATTTCCATTTAATACTTGTTCAGCTGCTGTTATTGTATAGATATTTTTATTTCATCATACATTCTTATACCTTTCCATCCTGTGTATATTGTTGTACAGTAACTGTATTCTCAACTTCAACTTATATATACTGTATATATATATATATATATATATATATATATATATATATATATATATATATATATATATATATATATATATATATATATATATTTAAATCTTATTCTTTCCCAGCTAAATTTACCTTTTATTCTAATTTGTATTGTATTGTGTATTTTGTTGTAAAGCTATTCTATTATTCAACTTTAATTCAGATATATTTTTCCTTACTCTTTCCCAGTTAAATTTACCATCATTCTAATTCGTGGTGTACAGTTATTTTATTTTCAACTCTTAGGTCACGAGCAGTTGTGTAAGGCATTTCACTGCATTTCGTACTGTGTATGACTGTGTATGTGACAAATAAAATTTGAATATGATTTGAGAATGCGCGATTCGTGCACAAAGAGGGGGATTTGCAGAGTGGAAATGGATGTTCAAAGAGCAATTGGGGGGATTGATCATAATCCAGTCATTAAGAACGAGACGCTCACAGTGATTGGACAAGGTTTTTCCAGGAATGTACGTTTGAGCGGCAATTCAATTATTATAAAACATTTGATTCATTGGTTCATTGTATGTGGAGGGTATGAAATGCCATATGGTAGAAAAATGTCTCCCCAAAGCACAACACAACCAACCATTCACCCACAAACACACATTCACACGCTAGCCTGTGGCACGTTGCCGAACACCGGCGACACCGGCCCCTCCCACCACCACCAGCAGGCAAGATGGGTGAAGTGTCTTACCCAAGGGACACGACGACTGCGACAGACTGAGCGAGGCACCGCTCACTGCACCCTTTCGTATTTATTGAAGTCATTAATATAAGGTATTAAGAGTATAACTTTATTCAGCCAGCCAATTGCAACTGTTTTTGTTTTAACAGATGAACAGTGTGTTTCTGATGGTGGAGACCACTGCCTACTTTGAAGCCTATAGATATGTTCTAGAGGGCCTACAGAAGATGGATGAGCAAAACCTGCCTTTTCAAAAGTAAGCGTGTTCACCATTTCTTTTAACATAGTGACAAACGAAATGTTTTTGAAAATCTTTTAGTTTTACACATTTTTTATGCAAATATGTGCCTACTGGGGCTGTTTCTGCAGCACTGTTCTGAGATCAGAGTTAAAAACCTTTTTTTTCATCTTTTTTGCATGAAAAAACTAAGTAGGTTTTTCACCAAGAACTCCATTCAGAAACATTTCTGTTCCTTGGAGAACATTTTAACTGTTATTTCTGCTTCCAGGTACATTGTGGAGTGTTCCACAGATGTGCAACCACCAGCTTACCTTAGAATAAGGGGACTTTATGACCTGTCATCTGTTGCTGAGCCTGATCACCAAAAAAGCATGAAGCCCTTTCACAGTCTGAAGCCAGAGGCCTGGCCCGAAATGGAGAAGCTGGGCCTGGATGAGTCTCAGATGAGAGCCTTTCAGCTAGCTCTCACCAAAGAGCTAGCCATCATCCAGGGGCCTCCTGGGACTGGTATGCAATTTCAAATAATTAAATTTCATTTATGTATTTATGAAAAACTTTACTGTCACCAATCAAGGATGCCCAAAGTGCTGTACACGATAGAATCAACGATTATACACAGTAGGGATGTAAGAACATATCGATATGGCAATATATCGTGATATATTTTCCTGCGATATTACGTCGATATTCAAAACTGTGTATCGAATTTTTAGAAGAATTTACAAGCAAAGATTTTATTTTCTTTTGGTGCATATCAAACGCCAACCACTAGGTGGCAACAGTTTGCAATGGGTTTTGTTTCCACCATTGAAATGTAAATCCCTCTGTTATATTACAGATACCTCATGTTAAACAGGTTACGTATCCGTTTGGACTCTTGATTGAATTTTCCTACAATAAATTCAATCTAAAAAAACGCTAATGTAGTCTGGCTGAATATATAGCAATATATTGTTAAATATTGTATCGTCTCCCCTGTATCTTGATATGTGTCGTATCGCCAGAATTTCACCAATACACGTCCCTAATACACAGTAAAACTGGGTTTAACAGAAAGACCCTGCTGCAAGGAAATGTCAACAATAAAACCGAATAAGAAAATTAAGGCCACTAAGAAATTAAATGTATCTAAAATACTACTTCAGATTAGCTTTAAAACTCCAGACTGATGGTAATTGTTTGATATCAAGTGGGAGTTGGTTGGGGCCAGTACAGCAAAGGCATACTTGTTAAAAGCTCCGCAAGGTAAGGTGGAGCTGTTTCTGGAAAACGTAAAACTAGCACTTTTACTGGTATGCAGTGCTTTACAGGTAGCCAATGCAGAGCATTCAGGACTGGAGACATGTGTTCCCACCTCTACATCCCATAGATGAACCTGGCTGCAGCATTTTGCATCATCTGCAGCCTAGAGATGGCAGACTGAGTCAGACCACCATACAGAGAATGGCTATAATCCAGTCTTTACAGTACAAAGGCATGCGTTACGATCTAAATCCGTTTTATGAGGTCATCGAATTGATTCCGGACAGGCATTATTTTAGTGAAATAAACATGTTAATTAGTAAAATAACAATATTATTTTACTTATTAAAAAAATGAATATATCCTGCCGTTAGCCTCATGTTTTTCATTTTGAACATTATAAGATCATCAAAGTAAAAAGCAATCACACTAAATCATATAAATAAATAAATACATTTAAATAAAAACTAATGCTTTTTCTTCTTTCCATTAGGAAAAACCTATGTTGGCTTAAAAATAGCTAAAGCTCTGTTGACCAATCAGGGTCTTTGGAATACCAAAGCTGACCCAGCTCCGATGCTCGTCGTGTGTTACACCAACCATGCCCTGGATCAGTTTCTGGAAGGTAAGCAGTGACATTAACTACATCTGTTTAGTTTATTCTGTGAAAACAAATGTCTAATTAGGGGTGCAACGGATCGTCATTGATTGGTGAGCCACACGGATCTCTCTCTACGTTTCGGCATGCACGTGGTCCACAGATCAGTGACGTGATGGGCCGAGGCGCCACCTGTTCAATCCGAATGAGAAAAGCACAGTGGTGGTCAGAGCGGATGAGAGGAGCTTGAAAAACCACTTGCATCGTTTAGTCACACCAGCGTGCCTCCAGTCTGACGAGGCAGTGCCGCGTGGAGATGACGTACACAAAAGGCCTGGGACAATTTTTACATTAACCTAGTGCAGGGATTAAAGTTTTCCGTCATGGCGACGGAAATCCGTCAGCTGGAATAATCAGAAAAAAGTTCCGTCAAAATCTCTTCTTGCACTCGCTTGGGTTTAGTAGTGTCTCGCTCGCTCGCTCTCTCCTGTTGCTAATTGAAACGCGCACCAGTGTTGTTGAAACATGTTTCTCCACCATTCTGCACCGCCCAAGCTGCAAATATGCGCACGCTCATTGCTCGCTCCCACGGTGCGCACAAACACAAACTGCGCGCACACCAGGCGCTGGGATTCGAACAGAGCCAATAAAGCTCTGATATCACAATGAGAGCTAACGTGATGAGCAGAACCAGGACCCAAATACCCAGTGGGCCGATCTGAGGTACAGTAGGTGTTTTAAGTCGTCTCTTAGTTTTTTCGGGCTGGTGTTCAGTCATGACACTCCGCTGATTACCTGCTGATGAGAAGAGTCCTGCCAACCACAGCCTTAAGACATGTGTTGAACGTGCCTAAGTCCATACTTATGAGAACACCATGTGAGCACCCGTATGCGTACCCGCGCTTGTAGATGTGAGGTTTCTCTATAGGAGCATCCAATAGAGAGTGTGCGGGGCCACAGATCCGAGTTTTTTGATCCAGTGCACCACTATGTTTAATCCAAATATAATCAGTGACTTGTAATCAGTTTGTGGTCAGAACCAAGGAACTTCTAAAACAGATTTTTATTTTGCCGTTGAATATAACACAAGCGTTTGTTTGATTCTGCTTCTCAGGCATTCATAAGTTCCTGAAGCACGGCATTGTGAGAGTTGGAGGTCGCAGCAGCAGCGAAATCCTGAAAAAATTCAATCTCCGAGAGCTGACCCACTCTGCTGACTTCAGACGATCACTCCCATCTCACATTCGCATCGCGTTTAATCAGGTGAGCTCATCTGAAAGCTACAGTAGGAAAGTTCCAGAAAATGGTAGAAGCAGCAGTCTCGAGTGTTTATTTACTTTTGTCTCAAATACACTGTTCTTGTCTAATTTCTGCCTCAAAGATCTACAAGGAGCTTTGCGAGGCTGAAAGAGACATCCAACACCAGAGCGTGCAGCTGGAATGCTCTCTGAAAGGCATTCTGCGTGAACACGTCTTGTCTAGGTTTATGGCAGAGAGACACTGGCAAAGTCTCAACTCTCCCCCTGTGAGTGGGTTGTCACATAAATGCAGGTCTAATGCACAGTTGAAAATGATCACTAATTTATTTGTTTGCAATGACTTGCAGCGCGATGATGGGTTTCCGGTCTGGAATGACAGGAAGTTCAACATGATGATGGAGTGGTTGGGTTTGGGTGTAGCCAGCATCCAGCAGAGGGAGGCAGAGAACGCGAGTCCAAATGAAGGTAGGCCAGAAGTGAGGCGCTGGTGAAATGATAAAGGGGGATTTTAAAATTGGCTTTATGATCAATGAAAGCTTACAAGTTCCAGAACATTAGAATGATGATAACAATCTAAACGTTTCACAGCTTCAGCAGGTTTCTGCTCTGTTACAGTAAATAAACTCACTTTAAGTCCTACAGGGCAGTTCCAGTATTAGAAGAGCGAAAACTATACAGCACATACATATTCTGAATATACAACAAGATTGTCTGAATTTATGGTTTTTCTCTTTTTATTTTCATACAAAAATATCAGTTGTATGATATTTTCTTACAGAGAGAAAATATTTAATGATGTTTCTTATGGCAGAGGAAGCAGTGGAGAGGGAGGAAGACCTAATCGACATAGCAGAGGAGGCAGACCTGATTCAGGCAGAGAGGATGATTGACGACAACTGGATGGTTGGTTTCAGAGCTGGTAACGATGACAAAAAGAAAAATGAGGACAACATCAAACAAATAGAAAACAAGATGCTGGCGATGAACCTGAACAAAGTCCACATTCAAGCTGAGAAAAGTGAAGAAGGATGGGAGGTGAGAACACTAAGATGCTAACTATTCCATGTCTGCTAACACCTTTTTTTTTTACATTTTATTTTAATGAATGTGTTACTTCCACTAAACGTCACCCAGCAGTAAAGCAATTATCAGGAGTAAACCTCATCACTTTGCACGCTTGCGTTCTCACATGGGCCTCCAGCAGTTAGAAAACCCTTAAGGGACAGAACAGTCAGCCCCAACAATGTTCTGAGCGTAATAAGCAGACTTAAAGGAAACATTCCTCATTCATTTCATTAAGCACAGATGTTAACTGTTTGTTTTATTCTCATGGAAACCACCATTAAACCATGAAAGACTTCCCCAAATAGGCTTCCCTCAGTGATACAGCCCAGCATCCTTAAATTAGTTGATGCATAGCAAACTTATCTTTTTCTTTTCCACACAGATACAACGAGAGCAGAGGAAAAAGATGAAGAGCAATATCAGAAAAGAATTAGGCAAGAGCTCAGCCATGACTGAAGCAGAGGAACGTCACATCTTAGATGTTTGGAGCCTTGATCTCCAGGACAGATGGAGGCTGTACCGGTAGGTTTCCTTCTGTAGTCCCATCAACGTTTCCATTTGTAACCTGTCCTGGAAGATTTAGCCAGTTACTATCCACCCTTGCTTTTCCATCCCACAACATTATTCAGCTTTTTATTTCATTTTTATTCCCTAACCACCCTCGATCCGGTAGCTGTGGCATATTCCCAGAGTGGATAATTAAGTCAACTTGTCAGCAAATGTATCCCAGAGGATCTCCAGACTTTGGCTATTGTAAAAACAGCACAGTAGGGTCATAATGATCATTAAAACTAACACAATTTCATTTTTTTCTCTCTCTTCTCAAAAAGCCTTTATGGTAAGTCTTATTGTAATTGTTTATTCATTGTACTATGCAATCATTAGTGTTAAGTGTCAGACTCGAAGACTGGGTTCGGGAGTAAGAGCTTTTATTATACTGACGGTGGGCTGAAAGCGGTGCTGGAAAGGCTGACGGATGAGGTCTGAGGAGGAAAGGTGGAGGTTTAGCTGTAGTAGCTTTGGAAATACTCTGATCATGGATCACGGTGGAACGATGACTGAGTGAAGAGCCGGTTTAGCGTCTTCCATATATAGACATGGATTGACGCAGGTGCAAAGTGGAGGGAATCCTCGCGAGGAGCGTTCCTCGGGACCGTAGTCCGCCCAATCTACGAGGTACTGCCAGCCCCGACCCCGGCGGCGAGCGTCCAGAATGCGCCGGACTGTGTAGATGGGCTCACCGTCGAGGAAGCGGGCCGGCGGAGGTGCTGGAGCCTGAGGTGGCAGGAGGGAGGATTCCACGTAAGGCTTGAGCCGGGAGGTGTGGAAGGTAGGATGGACGCGAAGGCTTGTAGGCAGCCGCAGCCGGTACGTGACCTGGTTGATGACCTCCTGCACGGAGTAGGGGCCGAGGAACCGGGGAGCGAGCTTCCTGGAACCGGCGCTGACCCGGAGGCCTGCCGTGGACACCCAGACCTTGTCCCCTGGAGCATAGGAGGGACCCGGGCGGTGCCTGCGGAGGTGTTGGTGTGAGTAACGGGCGTTGGCCCGGGTAATGGAGGCCCGCGCCTTGATCCATGCGTTCTTGCAGCGCCTTACCAGGGATTGAGCGGCTGGCACCGCGACTTCGGGTTCCTGGTGGGCGAAGACTGGAGGCTGGTAGCCATAGCAGACCTTGAAAGGGGACATCTGAGTGGCCGAGGAGGTGTGGAGATTATGAGACAGCTCCGCCCAGAGGAGGTACTTAGGCCACTGCGAGGGCTGGGCCGAGACAAAGCAGCGGAGGTACCGGCCCAACTGTTGGTTCGCCCGTCTCTCCATTCCACTTCTCCGGGAGACTGAAGTGTGGCTCTCCCGTTGGTGGAGTGAGGGCTTGCAGGTGGAGAGCATGAACCTGCTGCTGGAGTGCCGTGACGGCAGTAGACAACTGCATGGAGAGATCGGTCTGGGAGTTCAGTCTGGTGTTAAGCCGGTCGACCTGGGTGTGGAGCTGAACGTTCTCGTTCACCAGTTGCTCCATCTTTCTCTTCACCTGCTCGAACTCCGCTGGATTAATGGACTCAGTCATCCTGTCAGACTCGAAGACTGGGTTCGGGAGTAAGAGCTTTTATTATTCTGACGGTGGGCTGAAAGCGGTGCTGGAAAGGCTGACGGATGAGGTCTGAGGAGGAAAGGTGGAGGTTTAGCTGTAGTAGCTTTGGAAATACTCTGATCATGGATCACGGTGGAACGATGACTGAGTGAAGAGCCGGTGTAGCGTCTTCCATATATAGACATGAATTGACGCAGGTGCAACGTGGAGGGAATCCCCGCGAGGGGCATGCTGGGTAATGTGGTCCAAGACGGATGCCGGTCAGCTGGGAGAGCCTGGCCTGGGGGCTTGGACTCTGACATTAAGCCGTCTCTTGCTGTTTTTGCTTTTTATTTAACTCTTTTATAGTTTTATAATTTTGTTCTCAGCAGTTTAGCAGTTCAAATATTTATGAATTAAACTTGAAAGTTGTGACAGGAGATGTATTTTATTAGAAAAATGTTAATTTCTACGCAAAAACATTAAATTCTACAACAGGTTTTTCAATAGTTTCTCCCCATTAATCAAACTTGCATTCATTCCTGTAAACACCTAACACGGACCGTCTCACAAATAATGCCCAGGATTTAAAATGCAGTTCTCCAGAACACCAGTGCAGCTTTTTCTGGGGAGAAAAACACTTAACTTTAATTTCTCTTTAACAGTTGAAATAAAAGGAAACAGTGCAACATGAAGGTAGTGGTAGAAGAAAGTTGCAAAGTGTGGAAAGTGGTCAGTATGTCCTCCATCAGGGCCATCGTCTTTACTGACTGTATTACTCGCTGTACACTTGGCCTCTCTCTACTCCCCCATTTGTCCAACCTGGGATCATCATTCATTATTTATCCCAAAGTTCTATCAAGTAAAGTTTTAAGCCTACTCTTAAAAGTAGACAAGGTGTCTGCTTCATGAACTAAAGCTGGGAGCTGGTTCCACAGGAGACGAGCCTGACGACTAAAAGATCTGCCTCCTATCCTATTTTTAGATATTTTAGGAACCACCAGTAAACCTGCAGTCTGAGAGTGAAGCGTTCTGTTAGGAACACATGGAAAAATCAGAGCACTGATGTATGATGGAGCTTGATATATTAAGGGCTTTACATGTGAGAAGGAGGATCTTAAATTATATTCTGAATTTAACAGACAGACAATGTAGGGAAGCTAAAACAAGGGATATGTGATCTCTTTTTAATTCTCATCAGAACTTTAGCTGCAGCATTTTGGATTAGCTTTCTGAAACTTTTACAAAACAAAGCACTGCAGAGAAGATTGGTTTTCACAAGACTTACCATGTTGTCCCGGTTTTCACCTTTATTGGTTTTGTATGTGCAGGTTGTGGGTATCACGCTACAGAATAGACCTTCGTACAAAAGCTCAAGTGTCTGAACAAACCTACCAAAGTGCTGTGGACAGACTGGCTGATGTTAAACGAAAGGAGAACCTTCATGTCCTTAAGAATGCAATGGTACGCAACAACTGGATTGTCGAACAGTAGGGACGTTGTTTTACAAGGAATCTCACATAGATCCTTGTGTGATTAAGAAATGTGTTATTTTAATATAAACAAAAACCGGATATGAAATGTAGAATCTGATCTACTGGAAAGTTTAACACAACCATTTAAAATCAAAATTCATTAACTTTTATTGAAGATACCATTTAGAAAATTGTAAAGACTGCAGTTCAATTTTTTACATTTCATCATCATTTAGCTCAGGTGATAAAGCCAGTATGATGCATTAACAGTACATAACAAAAACATGCTTTGTTCAGGTCATCGGGATGACGACAACAGGAGCAGCTAAATTCCGTAACGCTCTGCAGGAACTATGTCCGCGTGTGGTGATTGTAGAGGAGGCTGCAGAGGTTCTTGAAGCTCACACCATCACCACGCTGAGCGAAGCATGCCAACACCTCATCCTCATCGGAGACCACCAGCAGGTAGGATCTCATCTGGACAAATTAGACAATTTCCCAAACCCTTAGTGGTTCTGCATTCTCATTAAACCGAGCATCACTATTTTACCACAGGTGTGTTAATAAGTCACTAGAACCTGATTGAAGAATTTACACTTTCCAGTATGGGTGAAATTGACCAGAACAGAATAGCTCCAGTTCTTTTTCTCCCCTTATTGTGTGTTTCATTTAGAGGTGTGCAAAATAAAAAAAGCAACTGTTAAAAACAAAAAGAAAACAAAAAATAAAGCTCTCCATTACAGGAGATTGGTGAAGAGTGATATTGTAGACATCAATAGGCTATTATACAACAACTTGTCAGGGCCTGCCAAGCACATATGGGCAGGCAGCCTGTCTAGCAATCTGCAGCATGTGATCACAACTACACACAGTCCTATCACACGTCTAAATATTCTGTCCTGCTCTCATCTTGCTGTGTAACTTCTGCCTGCTTGCAAACTAATATTTGCATATTTTACCCAGCTTATTCATGAATTTATTCAAGTGTATTAGCAAAGCTTGAATCCTGAATCTTTGACAGAATATTTTGTATGAGTATGGATTTAAAAATAAAAAAGTAAGCTTACTTACTTGGATATACATTTGAATCTTTTGCGTTTTACCTTAAAGTTTCACCTTGGGGTCTTTTGCATGTTCTCCCTGTGCATCTGTGGGTTCTCTCCGGGTACCCTGGCTTCCTCCCACAGTCCAAAACATTTTAACTGTCAAGTTGATTGGTTTCTCTAAAAATTGTCCGTTGTATGTGCATGCTTGGTTGTTTGTTCTGTGTGTGTTTTTAGAACATTGAACTAAGTTTAAAAAAAAATGTAATCATGAACTAAATAAGGAACATGTTCATTTTAAAATGTTTAACCTGAACTTTGAACTAGTTCATTTTTAAAAGGAACTTTCCCAACACTGTGAACAATACATTTGTAATATTCAATGTTTTTAATTTTAATGGGTTAAATTGGAGTTGGTCTTCCTGTGCCACAAGTTTAAAGTAAATGACAATATTTACAATAATCAATAAAAAAATCATATTGATCGATATCAGTAATTTTTGAAAATATAAACTGTTGGAAAAATATTTTAAGTGTGACCCTGGCCAATTTATGCTATTCCATTATTAACTATTTTAATAAAGGACAGACAAAACCTGACTTGGATTAATCAGAAATTGAGATTTCAGTTTCAAATTAAGGTTCAGCTGCAGCACAGTATTCAGAGTATACAGTGATATTTATTATTTACAAACATGACATCCTGCTTTCACCAGGGCTGCCAACTCTCACAGATTGAGCATGAGACACGCGCATCTGACCCACCCCCCACCTCCAACAAACTAGGAATACTCAGTTTGTCTTTTTTGTCCACTTCTAGCTGAAACCAAGCGCCACTGTGTATGACCTTGCCAAGAACTTCCATCTCGAAATGTCCATGTTTGAGAGACTGGTCAATATGAAAGTGCCTTTTGTGAGACTCAACTACCAGGTTTGTGTTTTTGTATTGACTAGTAGACTCTTGGTGTGTTATAATTATAGATTTTTAACAAATGTTTCCATTTTTGTGCATCATTAACCACCTACGTGATTTGTTGTTTGTTGACAAATGAACATGATTTGCTCTTCAGCATCGTATGAGGCCTGAGATTGCCTGTCTTCTGAGTCCTCACATCTACTCAGAGCTGGAAAATCATCCATCTGTGTTTGAGTATGATAACATCAAGGTAAAGTTGCATGTTTTTCTCCTGCAAAGTTTATTTTCTGTTTGACTTTCACAGTAAACATGTCATTTTACAACCTGCATAAGGATAAACCCCTTTTAAATTGCATTCAAGAAATTGAGAATATTGCACTAAAACATGACGAACATAAAAGAATGACAATGAATATGTCTGTTAAACCTTACAGGGCCTCAGTGCAAATCTATTTTTCGTTGAGCACAAGCAGCGGGAAGAAGAGATCAAAGATGGAAAAAGCCATCAGAACATTCATGAGGCAGAGTTTGTTGTAGCACTTTGCCGCTACCTTCTGCACCAAGATTACAAACCAGAAAAAATTACAATCCTCACAACCTACACAGGCCAACTCTTCTGTCTCCGCAAGCTAATGCCTTCCAGCGAGTTTGCAGGGGTCAAAGTACACGTAGTCGACAAGTATCAGGGTGAAGAGAATGACATTGTTTTGTTGTCTCTTGTACGTAGCAATCTGCAGGGCAAAGTTGGGTTCTTGAGCATTCCCAATCGTGTCTGTGTTGCCTTGTCACGAGCCAAAAAAGGCCTGTACTGTATCTGCAACAGTGAGATCTTGAGCAGTGTCCAACTGTGGAGCAACATCTTCCACACTTTAAGAGAAAAAGACCAGGTTGGGAAAGCATTGACCCTGTGTTGTCAGAATCACCCAGATCGCCAGGCAAAGGCTTCCTGCGCTGAGGATTTTAAACAGGCACCCGAAGGGGGCTGTACCCAGCCGTGTCAGTTTCGTTTGGATTGCGGCCATGTTTGTCCCAGAGTTTGTCACCCGTCCGATCCAGAACACAAGAAGGTTAAGTGTAGGAAGAACTGTGAGAAGATTTTATGCAAAGAAGGACACAAGTGCACACGTTTGTGCTATGAAGATTGTCCAGAATGTCGTGTGAAGGTTGAGAAGGTGGTACCTCAGTGCAAACACCTACAAATGGTCCCTTGCTTCCAGAATCCTCAGACCTTTATCTGCCAGGAGCCTTGCCAGAAGCTGCTTGAATGTGGACATCCATGTGACTCTGTCTGTGGAGAACCATGCACCAGGAAGTGCATTGTGAAAGTCATTTTAAAACTGAAGTGTGGACACAGCCAAAACGGTTCTTGCCATTACAATGCAGGTAAATATCAACCTGAGTGTAAAACAAAATGTAAGCACCAGCTGAAATGTGGCCATTATTGTAGCGGTACCTGTGGCAAGTGTTACCAGGGACGTTTCCATAGTCCCTGCACCTACCGATGTGAGCGTCTTCTGGTCTGCTCTCACAAATGCATGGAACCTTGTACTCGCAATTGCCCTCCCTGCCAGAGGCCTTGTGAGAACTGCTGCAAGCACAGTAACTGTATGAAAACGTGTGGGGAACCCTGTGCACCTTGTGTTGAGCCTTGTGAGTGGCAATGCCCTCACCAAAGCTGCAGTAAACTATGCCATGAGCCATGTGATCGTCCTCCATGCAATGAGCCTTGTGAGAAGACCTTGGAGTGTGGCCACCCATGCATTGGTCTTTGTGGAGACAAATGTCCAAGCAAATGCCGCATCTGCAATGAAGGCGAGGTCACAGAGATTTTCTTTGGCACTGAAGATGACCCAGAGGCTCGCTTTATTCAGCTGGAGGACTGTATACATTTCATTGAATCTACAGCCATGGACCACTACATGAGATTGGATGACAACAGAGAAGGTGAGGTGGCAGTAAAACTAAAGGAATGTCCCAAGTGTAAAACTCCAATACGCAAGAACCTACGCTATGGATCACACATCAACCGGAGCCTGGCTGAGATAGAGATGGTGAAGAAGAAGATACAAGAGCAGCAGCCTGACATTAACAAAATAAGGCTCACTCTTCAGAATGAGTGGCAGGCAAATTTTTCTATTTGTGTGGAATATGTGGAAAAAGAGTACATGGGAATCGAAGGCAAACTAAATAAAACTTACCTCACAACAAATGATCTCAGAATCTTGGAAAACGAGATTTATTTCCTGACAAAAGTTGCAAAGCTCCTAAAAGCAGAACAGGAAAGCATGCCATTCTTCGATGACAAGTTTCGCCAGCGTGTCACACAGTTCATGAGCTGGCTCAGTGGCGTTAGCCAAAAATTCACAGATCAACAAGTCTTTAATTTGCAGAGAGAACTACAGAGACTTACCCTTCTGGCTGATCTCAATGTGCGTTGCCAAACGGCAGACAAGATGGGGAAGTTGGACAAAATGCAAACAGAGGTACAAGAAATAAGACACGTCTTGGAAATATCAGACCAGTTCACTGAGCAAGATCAACGGATTGTGGAAGACGCAATGAAGAGCCTGAATGAGAAGTTTCCACTCACAGGCTTGGGGATAGATGAAGATGAGAGAAAGATGATTGTCTCAGCCATGAAAATGCCACTAGGACACTGGCACAAATGTCCTAATGGTCATGTTTACGTCATCACAGAGTGTGGGGGGGCAATGCAAAGACGAGCTTGCCCTGATTGTAAAGCGACCATCGGTGGTGAAAACCACAGGCTGGACAGTGGCAACCAGGTCGCCACAGAAATGGATGGAGCGCAGCATTCTGCCTGGTCCGAAGGAAATAACCTTCAAAACTTCGGAGACCTTGGTTTCTAAAAAGGCCCATCGAGGTTTGTAGTTAAGTGATTGAGGGCAAACACCCGTGAGTTCCACCAGGTTGTGGTCATACTTCAACAAACTATTTCATCAAAGTTAAAAAAGTTGTACAATGTTTCTTAAATGCAATCTGTTCAAAGAAGAGTAATGTTAAAAGAAATAACAGACTAGTTTACCATGAGACTATTCTTTCATTCAACAAGTTTCTGAAATCTGACTCAATTTACCATCCAACCATTTATATGGTCATTTTGTTTTGCTTCAACTTTGTTAAGAATGTACATGTGTACGTTGTAGTTTTGAAAGTCATCACAAAAAGTTTTCAGATGATCTAAGTTTCCTTAAAAGAAATGGATTATAGATGGTGATCTTAGCAGTCTCATATATGTTGACTGTGATAGGTTTAAGAGACCAGTTGTCTCCAACAATAGGTGGCAGTAAAGCACTGTAATTAACCACAATGCATTATGCCATTTGCAGGCTTGCTTGTTCATGTGAAATAAAAAAAAATCATTTAAAAAGTGATTTTATGTCTTTATTTTACAAAAGAAAGAACTTGTCTTATGTAAAATGTAATTTGTAGAAGAGTAACAATTCTAGCATTTTAATTTTCTGCAATTCCATTGAACTAGTACAATCAAGAGTTAAAACACTTGTCTGTAACAACATTTATAGTATTTAAGCGCACCTGAAGGAAAGCTGGATGAAAAGCGATGCCCGAGTAAAAACAGTAATATTTGGTAACAGGCTCCTGAATCATCTATCGTGTAAAATATACTACTGCCAGTTTCCCATAGTGTAGTTTTTACAGTGAAACCCATGTAGTTGCCCCAAATTCACCAATGTATTTGATGTTGCAGATCATTATAGTGTGGAGGGATTTATGCTGAGCTCCATATTAATGTTCTAAAGAGATCCTATTGTACGTGCAAATACCCATTACTCAGATGAGGTTCAAGGTTTCAAGTGATTATTGTAAAGTGGGTTTGGCTCATGCGGGTTAGATAAAAAACAGTTTGATTTTTCTGTAAAATGAAATCTCAGCAACAAATTGAACTGATGGAGTCTACATAATGAGATCCTAATGATTGAGCCAAATAAGCTCAAGTATGCCACAATTCAGATCCTCTGCAAGATTTTTGCTTGAATTTACAAGAAAAACAGTTGGCAGTTGAGACTTTTGTAAAACAAAACCAGAAGATCTATTGTGGTTTTTATAAGCAATGTCCGATATTATTATCGGCCGATATTGGCATTAAAATGTAATATTGGAAATTAACAGCCGTTTTTACTCTTTTAATGACACTACGACTTCTCTCACTCAAAAATGTCATGAGAGATCTGTAGTATAGTTTGAGACCTTCTTGTTTATTTGGTACAACTTGTAAAGAAGAGAAAAACTTGCGCTGTGAAGTGGGCGTTTGTCATTATCTCATTGAGAACGTAACTCAGCTGCTGTTGGAGACAAAACTGATGGCACTTTTTTCATTGAAGAACTTTTTAAAGTTTGCGCAGATAATGTTTAAAGTTAAAGTATGCATGATAAGAGATGGGATGTTAGTCACCTAAAATGAATGCTTTTTGGGGGGGGGGGGGGGGGGGGATTTGGTATTGGTTTATATTAGATTGGAAAAAGGTAGAATGCCTTCTCCAGGTCAGGGATGAGATCATGCTTCAAGTGGTAGAGTTTAAGTATCTTGGGTTTGCACTGGTCCGTCATGGTGAGAAGACAGCTGAACTGGTCACGAGCTTTGGGTAGTGACTGAAATAACGAGATCACTGATACAAGTGGCAGAAAAGAGTTTTCTCCACAGGGTGTCTGGGCGCGCCGTAGAGATAGGGTGAGAAACTCGGTCATCCAGGAAGGGCTCAGAGTAGATCTGCTCTTCCACATCAAGAGGAGCCAGTTGATGTAGCTCATGCATCTAGTTAGGATGCCTCCTAAACTCCTCCCTGGTGAGGTTTTCCCGGCACGTTCAACCGGCAGACCTAAAGGAAGACCCAGGACACGCTGGAGGGCAGTGTTGTTTTAGTTGATATTGATGACAAATTTATTTTGTTGACGCCCTTTTTTCACATTACGAAAAATAGATGCTGACGAGCTAAAAATACCTCTATGGTGGCTAAAACATGACAAGACATGCAGATGTTTTTGTTCACAAGACAAAAATGATGCTCAAAATGCACATTTCTGCCTATCTCACAAAAGCTAAAAGTAACAGCACTGCTGTGGTCTGTGTCCCAGCTGCAGCGGCGGTGCACATTCCGCTGCAGCTGGGACACATTTCAGCTGAATCTTCCATTTTGTTTTACAGTCAGGCTGATCGTTTCCTGCAATGTGATGACAAGCACCTTCTTGGCTGTGTCCACACTTCTTAATGGGACAACAAATCTCTTGTAATAGATAATCAGGGAAGAGGAATATCAGTTACAAGAGATTTGTTGTCATCTTTGGTTTTGTTTATATTAAGTTTTAAAATTCTTAATAAAAATAAAACTTTTCTCCAAAAAATATCATCAAGACTTCAAATAAATAATTCAACTTTTAAAAGGGTTGGCTTGTCTAAAACCACAAAATCTTAGCACCTTGTGAAGCAGCGGCATATAGGAACAAGGTTAAAAATGGGGGAGGGCGACAAATTGGAAACCTGACAATCTATTAAAGGTCAACGTCACTAAAAAACATTTTCAATCATTATTTTTGATTATAATCAGTCACTCTTGAGTCTTTTACCCGTTTTCTGCAATAAAGTCCCAGTCATCATCACACACTGGTGAAATTGCATCTCTGTATTTGACCCATCCCCGTGGCCGCTCTCGGGAACTATTTGGTGGTTTAGCTTCTGATACAAAATGGACTGTGGAAGGCTCGGATTTGAAAAGCCTGACAGCTCTATGTCACTTAACCATATTAACTCATGTGAGACGTAGAGAAAGGTGAAATAAAATCCATCAGCATGGTTAACACATTCACTGCTGTAGGCTGCACATATAGACTAAAGGACAGTAAAATACACTTTTACAGGATTCCAGCTGAAGGTAATGGCTAACAGCCATGAAGAAAGTTCGAATGGATGATCCATCCACATTGTGGGAGCTAAAGTCTCATGACAGAAATTGGGGAGAAAATGGTTGAGAAATGGATGACAAGCCTTTCTCCTGTTCTTTTGTGACTTGTTTAGAAGGAAGGATGAGCCACACCTGTTCAGTTAAAGTCAAAAGCTTTTATTACCCCATGTGCAGAGTGGAGAAATGAAAGGACGCCTGACTCCTAATGCATTTCTGGGGCACTCCCTACCAGAGACCTGGACACACAAAGACATCATCATTTTTAGTTGGCCGCACCCTTATCTGGTCACACCACCAGGTTCTTTGTTACATTCTCGTTTCTATCTTCCCTATCTGCCTTCGTCCTTGATGTGGTTCGGACTGTAGAACCTCCTACTGTTAACTCACTTTCTGGTAGCTACAAAGCCACATTTTCTCATGAACAAGCTGCAAGCTTGTTGTTCTGCATTCCATGATGATCTCAGCTGCACCTGCAGGTTCCTGGTAAGACGGAAGCACTCTATTTTGTGTCTACATGTTGCTGCAGACTAAAATGCATGTCAGTGGTAAATGAAAGATTATTAATATTCAACTAAATGTCTGTGGTAAATAAAAATAGGTGTAAGTAAATGTAATAAATCATGAGTATTGATGACGTATCTGAGAGAAAATCTTTATTATAAAACCCAACACAGAATAAAAAAGTAAAGTATATGCCCTACACGTTCAGACACAAACAAGTTTTAGTTAATGACCATACTTTTGTAACTAAATTAATATCTTCTTACAAAATCACACACGTGTTCTGTAATTGGAGTGGACAGCATCTAAAGTTGTTTGTTTTGTGTTTACTGAGCTTTCAGGTATGCCAAATGTAGAAAAGTTATTTATTTGTAAACTATTTGTCCCTACTGAGACCTGCCCACTTGTTCTTGTGTTGTGGGAGAGGGCTTTGACTTGGCAGCCTCTAATGTCATTCGTTTTGAGAGAAAAAAGAAAGAAATCTCCAAAATCAGCGTGTGTTTTACTATTTACTCAAACAAAACTGGCCCTAAAAAAATCATCCAGTAAAGCTGAATTTACAACAAAACACACTAAAAGGGGTCGACACTTTAGCAAAAGTTGACATAAAAGCTTTTTAGCATCATCATCATCATCATCATCATCCTTCTCAGATCTTTTTACTTCTGAAGCTACATGAGGGTCTGTATTTGTTGTGGCTGAACAAGTAGAACAAGGGCCAACATATGACAACATTTTCTATCTGTCTTTTTAAAAATACTCTATCGTATCCCAGTTTTGTTTGTCATTTTTTTGCATCACATTTTGAAAAAAAACAAGAGTGGTTTTGTTTTAATCCCCAAAAGTCGAACTAAAAATTCATTCAAACATGCAGCATATGTCTACTTTTGTAAATCCTACCGGTTGTTAAAGCTGTTGTTAATCACAGAGCTTACATCACCACCTTGTGTTCAGCAGTGAGTTTGCATGTTGTCTTTGCATTTAACATTTGACTATTGTGAGATTAAAAGGAACGTGGCATGAGAACCTGGAGAAGTACACAAGAGCATTTATTCTAGAACTAGAGAATTCAAGTATTTGCTTTGTATTGTATGTGTTACTGATGCAAACAAGAGAGACTTGGCAAGAGCTACCCAACGTGAGCAAACTGAAGTCGTCCCACCGCTGCTTATGTAGCAGACCAGGATGGTTCTAACCCTAACCAACCTCAACTGGACCCACTTCTCGGACCCCTCCGCCTGTAAGTAGGAGCTCAGGAGAGGATTAGCAGCCACTCACCTCAGACCCATGACACCATGGTCCTTACACACAGACACCTCAGATACACTCTACACATATCCCTGCCACATCCACATACAATACAAAGCAAATACTAATGTTGTCCAATTCAACTTTTGCAAATTACTGATGCAAATATGTTAAATAAATGTTTCTAGTCTTTTACAGGTAGCTGTGATTGGTGGATGACAAGCCTGGCCTGAACAAGATGATGCTGGAGAGAAGATGCCAGAAAGACCAGGCTAAATAAGGATGTGTAGCACTCATGCTGCATGTCACGGCCATCAGACTTGATGTTATTGGTTGTATCTGTGGTTCTGAAGAGAAGGCAGCATAACATGGCCAAACTCACTTCTATTGAACTGCAGGAGAGGAGCTCCAGATGGAAAGGTCTACAAGTGGACCTCTTTCTGCATGGAGTTTGCATGTTCTCCCTGTGCATGCGTGAGTTCTCTCCAGGTGCGCTGGCTTCCTCCCAAAGTCCAAAAACATGACTGTTAGGTCTTGGTCTCTCTAGATTGTCCTTAGGTGTGAGTGTGTGTGTGTGCTTGGTTGTATGTCTCTGTGTTGCCCTGCGATGGATTGGCAGTCTATCCAGGGTGTACACCGCCTGAATGCCTGGAGACCAGGGGCGGCGTTAGGCCCGGCTACATGGGCTCAAGCCCCGAATAATTAATGAAAAGCCCCGGATCTCAAACGTGGAAGTAACCTGCAGTACAAAAGTCCAACAGAGAGGGAGCAGCTGGCAGTAGCTTGTATACAGCCTGCCTGAGCCTCCACCACTGAAGAAGAAGCCCTTCAGCAGCCGGCTTCTTCTATACTCTCTGCCTGAAACGCATGAGTGAAGATGGAATAAGGACGTTTTTTAAGTACCGCGACAGAACCCCAGCTTTGATGAGACTGGTGTTGACTCAGGTTTGTGAGTCTTATTTGAAAATATTTGTGCTGCTGGTTTGCCTAAAGTTAGCTTACTATCAGGTAAAGTTGTTGGAGAAAGAAAGGGAATATTTACTATCATCTCACACTAAACACTAACAGGAACAATATTCTGCCCTGAAAATGCTTAATATGTAGCTTCAGATTAAAAATTATGTGGTACACGACAAATATATATGATGACTAGTGTGTGTCACGTGTGTGTGTGTGTGTGTGTGTGTGTGTGTGTGTGTGTTAAGCCCCCGGATCTTCTTCTGTCCTTAATCCGCCCCTGCTGGAGACAGCTGGAGATGGGCACCAGCCCCCCGCAACCCTGCGAGGATAAGTGGGTAAAAAAAATGGATGGATGGATGGTACCCAGCCACTTTACATCTTTACTTGTCATTCTTTACTTTTAATCAGTTTTAAACACACCACTTTCACCGGTAATAGAATATTCTCCCATCACAGCAGTTAGTTTTAGAGTTGTAAGTGAATTATTTTGCACTATTTCATTTCTGCTGTAGAGTATCAATAGCTACATCTTATGTAGGAAACCATCGAAGGTGAGATTCCATAGAAAATATGAAATCAATGTGATGTACCCTGGCCTAGCCTTGGAATGCCCCCAGGTAAGCGGCAGGTGGTTGACAGCATCAGCGGGACCCTGAAGGGTCAGTGAGTTCAGCTTTTACTCTGAAGTAGTGTTGCATCAGGTGGAGCTTGCAACAGGTTTGTTGTCCAGCTTGTCGTTAGGTTGTGGTTAAAAAGTTACGAGTAGCCGGCTTGCAACTCTAGAACGTTTGAACTGAACTGAGGATGACGTGGGAGTTAGTTTTATTATTCAGATGTTTTGATTTATGGTCGAATCAAAATTGGACACAACTATAAACACCTCACAGATCATGCCATGAGTCAGAAAGGAAAGCTCTCATTGGAGAGACAAAGGAATGTGTCATGTGATTAACATTACGTGTAATCAGTCTAGTGTGTAGTGTGTATTACTTATTTAAATACTATCATAGGATTATAATATCAAGTAATTAATATTCTTATTTCACAGATTGATTTAACACGAGTTTTACATGATTATTTGGACTAACACAGGTATTTGATCATTTTTGGTCTTTCTGGACACCTATGCCTTTCTAACTGCTGGTGACAATCAATACATTTTCTATGTATTTTTGTTTTGTTAAGACAGATTAATCTTATGAAGGTCCGAATATTTAATTTTGTTGTTTTTAAGCTTCCAGCTGATAGACGTCATGTCGTCAGCTGTCGTCAGAGCAGCTGGGAAGCCAGAGCGGCTGGAATTCAGATACACTGTTTTTTAACCAAGCTCTACCTGATTTTTTTTTCCTCAATTAAATGTTTATTTTTTAAAGACAACAACATGGTCTCAGTTTCGTGGCAAAATACTGGTTGTTAGACTGGCTTCCACAACAGACACAGCGAAAGAATGGAGCACCACTACATCAGGTCTAAAAACTTGCTAAAGAGAACCAGCAGAAGAAAATGCCACTGATGTGCTGACACTGGCAATCCCTAAAGTATTTCCAAGATAAGAAAACAAAGACACCTCTTGTTCTTGAGCACTGTAAAAGATTGATGACAGTTATTTGAGATTTAAAGCAAAAGTGAAACCTAACTACATGCCACTCAATCAGCCGAAGAAAGAAGATGCATCTAATTCAGATTATGTTGTTAAGCACCTGGTTGATATATATATATATATATATATATATATATATATATATATATATATATATATATATATATATATATATACAGGTGCTGGCCAGTAAATTAGAATATCATCAAAAGGTTGAAAATATTTCAGTAATTCCATTCAAAACGTGAAACTTGTACATTATATTCATGCAATGCACACAGACCAATGTATTTCCGATGTTTATTACGTTTAATTTTGATATTTATAGGTGACAACCAATGAAAACATCAAATCTGGTATCTCAGAAAATTAGAATATTCTAAAGGCCAATGAAAAAATGTTTGTTTCTCTAATGTTGGCCAACTGAAAAGAATGAACATGAAAAGAATGTGCATGTATAGCACTCAATACTTAGTCGGGGCTCCTTTTGCCTCAATAACTGCAGTAATGCGGCGTGGCATGGACTCGATCAGTCTGTGGCACTGCTCAGGTGTTATGAGAGCCCAGGTTGCTCTGATAGTCGTCTTCAGCTCCTCTGCATTGTTGGGTCTAGCGTATTGCATCCTCCGCTTCACAATACCCCATAGATTTTCTATGGGGTTAAGGTCAGGCGAGTTTGCTGGCCAATCAAGGACAGGGATACCATGGTCCTTGAACCAGGTGCTGGTGGTTTTGGCACTGTGTGCAGGTGCCAAGTCCTGTTGAAAGGTGAAGTCTGCATCCCCATAAAGTTGGTCAGCAGCAGGAAGCATGAAGTGCTCTAAAACTTCCTGGTAGACGGCTGCATTGACCCTGGACCTCAGGAAACAGAGTGGGCCAACACCGGCAGATGACATGGCACCCCACACCATCACTGACGGTGGAAACTTTACACTGGACCTCATGCAACGTGGATTCTGTGCTTCTCCGCTCTTCCTCCAGACTCTGGGTCCTTGATTTCCAAAGGAAATGCAGAACTTGCTTTCATCAGAAAACATAACTTTGGACCACTCAGCATCAGTCCAGTCCTTTTTGTCCTTGGCCCAGGCGAGACGCTTCTTGCGCTGTTTCTTGTTCAAGAGTGGCTTGACACACGGAATGCGACACCTGAATCCCATGTCTTTCATGAGTCTCCTCGTGGTGGTTCTTGAAGCGCTGACTCCAGCTGCAGTCCACTCTTTGTGGATCTCCCCCACATTTTTGAATGGGTTTGTCGTCACAATTCTCTGCAGGGTGCGGTTATCCCTAGAGCTTGTACACTTTTTTCTACCACATTTTTTCCGTCCCTTCGCCTGTCTGTTAATGTGCTTGGACACAGAGCTCTGCGAGCAGCCAGCTTCTTTAGCAATCACCTTTTGTGTCTTGCCCTCCTTGTGCAAGGTGTCAATGATTGTCTTTTGGACAGCTGTTAAGTCAGAAGTCTTCCCCATGATTGTGGTGCCTTCAAAACAAGACTGAGGGACCTTTTAAAGGCCTTTGCAGGTGTTTTGAGTAAATCAGCTGATTAGAGTGGCAGCAGGTGTCTTCTATATTCAGCCTTTTCAGAATATTCTAATTTTTTGAGATACCAAATTTGGAGTTTTCATTAGTTGTCACTTATGAATATCAAATTTAAATGTAATGAACATTGGAAATACATTGGTCTGTGTGCATTGCATGAATATAATGTACAAGTTTCACGTTTTGAATGGAATTACTGAAATATTTTCAACCTTTTGATGATATTCTAATTTACTGGCCAGCACCTGTATATATATATTTGAAACATCCTTGAAGAAAGTGCTTTAACTTGGATGCAACCTGTTCATTAACTCTGCAATTTAAAAGATGACGAATGAGGAAATACAAGCAAATGAAAATGTAACTGCTGAGCCCGAGCCAGTAAGATCCTACGAGCTCACAAAGAAGAGATTAGCGTTCAAATTGCAAAGATGCATTAAGAAGACAAACATTAGGGCCTCTTAAAGGTACAATGAAGGAAATGGAGACAATGACGACTGACAATCAAAATGACCAAAAGTTCAAGAAATAATAGAACATGAGTTAGCACAGTCTCTGTGATTTTACTGGTCTCAATGAAGAAGTTGGTAATCTTCTAAGAGAAGATAGAAAAAAGTGGTGTTTGATGGCACAGCTCAATTTCAGGGTGTGTCCCTAAATGAGTTGCTTCAGGGGCCTAACCCGACTAATACACTAATAGGAGTTCTTCTAAGATTTTGCAAGGAACCAAAGGCAATGATGGCAGACATTGAGTCAAAGTTTTATCAAGTAAAGGTGCCAGAGTAAGATGCAGATCTCGTTTTCTCTGGTGACCAAATGGCAGTTTGAACATACCAGTGCAGGGATTTTGAATGACTGTACATTTCTTCTCCAAGTGTTGCATCGTGTGCACTGAGAAAAACCGCTGAGGATCAGTGACCAAGCACCTCCAAGATCCGTTCAGTCATGCAAACATTTTTATAGATGATTGCCTGAAAAGTGTAGCAACAGAAGATGATGCTGTGATCTTGGTCAGAGATCTTTGTGCTTTGTGCAGAAGTGAAAGATTCATATTTACCAAACTGCAGGAAGGTGGTGTCAGTCCCTAAAGGCGATATACAAGTGTGGGCCATTAAAGAACACAGAGCCAGTGAAGTAAAGGACCTTGATGATGTTCTGCCAGTGGAAAGGACCCTTGGTGTGCAATGGGACTCAGAAGCAGATAATTTCATCTATGGAATAAAACTGCAAGATGAGCTGATCACCAGAAGAGGCCTTTTATCAGTAAAGTCCATCTATGACCCTCATTGCCTGCTAAACCCTGAAAGAGCTGTGTAAAGAACAACATGGCTGGGGTGAAGAAATCAGTGGAAATCACTAATGACTGGAACAGATAAATGGAGGATGTTGTTCAACTCTCTAACTTCCAAGATGCTTAAAACCTGCAAATTTTGGATGTGCCGTTACAACACAGTTGCATCACTCTTCAGATGCATCACAGTAGGCATATGGCAATGTGTTGTATTTATTGCTGGAGAACATCCTGGGCAAAACCCCCCCAAAAAACAAACAAACAAAAAAAAACCCCACTGCTTTCCTTTTGGGGAAGTCAAGGGTATCACCACTCAAGCAGGTCACAGTCCCCAGACAAGAACATACCTCAGCAGTGGTCGCTGTTAGAGTGGACAAGATGTTGCAGTAGGAACTTGAACTTCCATTGCAGCAATCACTTTTCTGCACAGACAGCTCAACAGTACTCAGATACATATTCAGGGAAACTGCCCAATTCAAAACCCATGTGGCAAACAGATTCTAATGGATCAGAGAAGAGACAAAGCCATCTCAATGGCAGTATGTTAGATTAATGTAAAATCCTGCAGATAGAGCCAGCAGAGGCTTGAAGGCCAAGAGCTTAAGAGAAGAAAGAACATTGATAAAGAATGGACATCTTGATGGATGAATGAGATTGGCTGGAATTCCCTGAAAGATGGAAAGAAAACCTTCAAAATGACCCAGAAGTAAAAAAATAAAAGTTATCAACACAATAAAAGTTGG